GCGGGCTAAAAGACGGCCGCGGAAAGACGGCACATTCGTAGTTCCAGAAGAGCCGCCAGTGGCGCTGGCGTCGACCGATGCCGGGCGAGGGGAAGCGGGAGGGGACGGGAGCGGTGCCCCGCTCGTCTCGTCCCTTCTCCCCTCGCCCGGCATCGGTCGACGCCAGCGCCACTGGCGGCTCTTCTGGAACTACGAATGTGCCGTCTTTCCGTGGCCCTCTCAGACAGCTCAGTGCCGACACCGTATTAACTACATCGTGGGACACCGTCGTCGCCCTAGCTCTCGCTGACGACTCGCCACGCTTCCCTCTGACTTATATACCCTTCCGGCGCATACCCCGAAGAGGTCCGCTGGTGTTGCCTGCTACAACGACCAGTTGTCAATGTGCTAACATCACTGTAGCGTTTGCTGCTTCAGGGGACACCGCCATCGACCTTTTTGGCCACATCTCTCTGAACTTTTTAATTAATTGAGTAGGGGGTACTGGACACCGCCGTCGCCCTAGCTCTCGCTGACGACCCGCCACGCTTCCCTCTGACTTATATACGTATGCGGCGCAGCCAAACGGTCGGGTCCGCTGGTGTCGCCTGCTTACTGAACACAACCCACACGGGAGAGAAGCCCTTTGAGTGCACTGTGTACTACACAGCAGCATCTGCTGATTAGGGGGACACCACCTTCGACCCTTTTGATCACCTTTCTCTCAACTATTTAAATAGGGGGTACTGGACACCGCCGTCGCTCTAGCTCTCGCTGACGACTCGCCACGCTTCCCTCTGGCATATATACGCTTGCGGCACCGTCATTTGTGCGGGTCCGCCGGTGTCGCCTGCTACTAAACTCACCCTCCACGGGGAGAAGGTCAGGACTTCGAGCGTACTGGGTGCAACTCAGCAGCACCTGCTGATTAGGGGGACACCACCTTCGACCCTTTTGAACACCTTTCTCTCAACTATTTAAATATGGGGTATGGGACACCGCCGTCGCCCTAGCTCTCGCTGACGACCCGCCACGCTCCCCTCTGGCATATATACGCTTGCGGCGCGGACTTATCAGCGGGTCCGCCGGTGTCGCCTGCTTACTAAACACAACCCACACGGGTGAGAAGCCTTTCGAGTGTACAGTGTGCAACAAGGTTGCATCTGCTGATTCAGGGGACACCACCTTCGACCCTTTTGCACCAAATTTTTCTCTCAACTATTTAAATAGCACCCAAGAACCCACAACAGGAAAACCTTTAAAAACATAAAATTTATAACGAATATTCTGGATGCTTAATGTAATGGATAAAAACATGAGAATAGACAAAAATAAAGACAAAATGCACACCTGTCACACACGCTTGTATTCATTTAATGTCATACTCTGCAGAGACCTCTTTCTCAGAGTACTTTGTCTGTAACTGTGCGAGTACTCTCTGCCCGGGTGCTTTTCAGCCACGACGCTGGTTCCCGAGTGACCAGACCCCCCCCCCCCCCCACAAAACTGCCGCCGGCTGCTGACGAAAAAGTCGCGACGGCGTCGCCGAAAACGCTCGCTCGCCGCCGTCGCGACAGAGACGCATGGCTCGGAGTGTTTCCCAAGGCGACGGCCGTCGTCCGCGTCATACCGTCACCGGCAGCGCGCATCGTGAGAAACCAACTCTTCGCCCGGCCCGCCCTCCGCCACGCCAACGCGAATGCCTGCGGGTTACCTGTTCCGCCCTCATCCGCGGTCCCGCCCCGCCCTG